ACCCTGGTACCACATTGACTCCAGCTTTTCTTGCAGCGTCTTTAGCTGTGATTTTATTAGATGCGACTTCTATTGTTTTTGCACTTGGGCCAATAAAGGCTATGTTGTATTTTTGAAGAGCGCGTGGAAAATCCGGATTTTCTGCTAAAAACCCATAACCCGGGTGCACTGCTTGCACGTTCGTTTCGACTGCAACTTCACATATTTTCTGGATATTTAAATAACTTAAATAAGAAGGTGAAGGACCTATATATCTTGATTCATCCGCTTGCATAACATGCTCAGAATTTATATCTGCATCTGAGTATATACAAACACAAGATATACCCATTCTATGAGCAGTTCTTATGATCCTGCAGGCAATTTCACCTCTGTTTGCTATTAAGATCTTATTATATTGTTTTCTAACATTCCGGTGACAATGGCCTTTAAAAAGTTCATTCATGCATTGGAGCCTATAGTCATTTTAGCAAACTTCCATTTCTTGTGTTGTATAATTGGTGGTGATAGCATTATTTAATGCACCCTCTTCAGACAATTTAAAGACCTCATTGCATGCTCTTAGGGATAAAAATGCAGTTCCACCAACAGACATTGAAGCGATTGAACTCAATGCAAAAGTTGCATTAGTTAGAAATAGAAAGTATAAAGATAAGCATAACGCAGTAACGCAGATTATGGCACCTACTACATATAAACTTGCATGTAGTTTTTTATTACATATAAAACTGTCTTTTATGCCTGCAATTTCTTTAATTTTCTTTTTTTGAAATGGATCTAAATAAAAAAGAGGAGTTTTTCCTTCATCATTCAAAGCACACTCTTTACTCTGCAATGCATACTTAATACACTTTAAGTTTTTCCCTAGACTCTCTTTTAGGCTCTTTAATGCTTGAAAGTCTCGAAATTCTTCTGCTTTTTTAATTTTATTTTGATCTTCTGAGAGAATTTTACTTATAGTAGGCAACAAAATTCCACTCGTAGCTGCTTCATGAAGCGGATTATTTCCATCACTATTACGCTTTATTACAAGAGCAATATTTTTCCTCCAAATAGATACGAAAGTATCTTCATCTTGTGCTCTAGCAGCCATATGCAAATAGTTATCTATTCTTACCTTTTGCTTTGTTTTGTCAGATGGACCATTATAGATGTATTTAACATCTGATTTTTCAATGAGTAATTTCTTATCTTCTGGTGATAACCTAGACCACAAAGGTTTATCTCCCATTGCAAAATACAACGGAGTTTCACCATTATCATATATTGAATTAGCATTTTTCTGCAAAAATTCTATGATACCTTCATAGTCTGACTTTTCTTGCAATTTTTCAATTAAATCAACTATAGAATATTCTCCCATAATTCCTCCTTTACTACTTACATAAATTATACCACTTAATTTATGAAAAAGCAACTCAAACACGTGTCAGATTGTACCATTGTTCCGCGTTTAAAATTTCCACACCCAATTCCTGCGCTTTTTGGTATTTTGATCCTGAATTTTCCCCTACAACCAGATAGTCTGTTTTAGTGGAAAGGCTGGAGCTTACTATTGCTCCTAGGGTTTTAGCTCTAGCTTTAGCTTCATTTCTACTCATAGTCAGTGTGCCAGTAAACGCTATAACTTTATTACTAAAGATGGAGTTACTATTATTTACATCAACAGAAAGAATTGTTAGATGGGGAGTAAGGTTATTTAATACTTCAGTATTACGTTTTTCGGAAAAGAATAACTCTAAGCATCTTGCTACCCCTTTTCCTACGCTATCTATGTCTAGTAGTTCAGAAAAAGCTTCTTCATCTGAGGACAATTTCATCATAGATAAGTACCAATTTTTATACGAGATATAGTAATTTGCAAGCAATTCTGCTATAACTTGGCCAATGGACCTGATACCTAAAGAAAATATAAATCTACCTAAGGTTACTACTCTTCTATTTCGTATAGAAGTCAAAAAATTAACTATTGATTTCTCACCCCAGCCTTTTTCTTCTTTTATGTCAAACTTGTTCAGTTTTTCTTCCAGAGTAAAAATATCGTAAATTTGTCCTATGAGACCGCATTTATAGAAAAACTCTATTTGCCTTTCTCCAAAGCCATCAATATCAAATGCATCTTTTGATACAAAATGTTTCAACTTTCCTATGATTTGAGCTTTACATATAAACTCTCCAGAACATCGTGTCACAGATTGTCCTTCTAGCCGCTGCACTTTACTCCCGCATTCAGGACAAGCTTCAGGGAATATAAATTCAGGTGCATTTGCAGAGCGAATACTCTTATCTACCTCTTCTATCTGGGGAATTACATCCCCTGCACGTTTTACGGTGACAATATCACCTTCTCTGATATCTTTGCGCTTAATTTCATCTTGGTTGTGGAGGCTTGCTCTGCTCACCAACACCCCACCAACATTAATCGGGACCAATNTCTCCTCTAAAGTACTTGTGATAAGTTGATTTTCATTTACACAAAAACCAAGTGTTTTTAAAGTACTTAATACTTCGTGCTGGTTCTTTGATGCTCCACCTATTAAAGAGTAAGCAAAATATTTTAGTGGCCTGCTAGCTGTAATATTTGCATCAAGTTGCTTTAGAGAACCTGCAGCTGCATTACGTGGGTTGGCAAATGTATTTTTTACATTTAGCTTTACAAAATCTTTGTTAGTAATATATACTTCACCTCTTATTTCCAACCTACCTTCCGCGCTATGTAAAAATTTAGGAAAGTCCTGCATAGTTGCAACATTATGGGTTACATCCTCTCCTACATGACCATCACCACGAGTTGCAGCTCTAACAAATACTCCATTGTCATAAATTGCAGAAAAGGATAGACCATCTATCTTAGGCTCACATATTGTTTCTACTCTATCTATATTTAAAAATCTTTTTACCTTGGATAAAAATTTCTCTACACCTTGCTCATCATGAGCATTGTCAATGGAAAGCATAGGTTCTATATGCTCTACTTTAGCAAACCTCTCATCTGGTTCGGCACCAACGCTATCTTCAAACCCTGTTATTGTTTTAGCTACTTTTTTCTTTAATTCATCGTATTCAGCATCAGTGATTTCCGGCTTGTTTTTCTGGTGATACAGTACATCATGATAATTAATTTGTGCTTGCAGATCAGCTAGTTCTTGCTTTGTCTTGTCTGTCATTTTTTGACCTTTGTCAATGGACCACTTAAAAAACCTATTTCTGATAGCAATTTTGTCGTCAAAACTTGCCTACACTTCTCAAATGCATCCAAGTATTCTGCGGTACTCGCCTGCATTTTTCCTAAAATATTTCTCATCGTAAACAGGTTCTGCAAAAGGTCTAATTTAGC